TCACAGAAGAGGAAATACAATTGAACAACAAATATATGAAAAATGTTCAACATCTCTAGCAATTAGAGAAATGCCAATTAAAACTACACTGATATTTCATCTCACTCAGATGAAATGTAATTGTCACAATGGCAATTATCAAGAATACAAGTAACAATAAGTGTTGATGAGGATGTGGAGAGAAAGATACTCTTATACACTGCTGGTGGGACTGCAAATTGGTGCAACCACTATGGAAAGCAGTATGGGGATTCCTTAGAAAACTTGGAATTGGACCACCGTTTGACACAGTTATCCTACTCCTTGATTTATACCCAAAGGACTTAAAATCAGTATACTACATTGAAGCAGCCACATCAATATTTACAGCTACTAAATTCACAATAGCCAAGCTGTGGAACCAACCTAGGTGCCCTTCAACAGATGAATAGATAAAGAAAATGTGGTATATATACACAATATTACTCAATATTACTGAATATTACTCAGCCATAAATAAGAATGAAATTATGGCTTTTGCTGGTAAATGAATGGAACCGGAGACTAACATGCTAAGCGAAATAAGACAATACCAAAAACCTGTTTTTTAGCTGAATGTTCTCTGTGATATGTGGATGATAATCTACAACAAGAGAGGGTGGGGAGGGGAAGAATAGAAGCCCATTGGATTAGACAAAAGGGAATGAAGGGGTGGGAGAGGGGAGGGGAATGGGAAGGATGAAAGCATTAATCAGTCGTAATCTTCCTACCCTTGTTTTTGATACATGACCAGGGTAACTCCATATCATGTAGCACTAGTATGGCAGTATGTAAAAAGTGGATGTATAACCGATGTGAATCTGCAATATGTATATGGGGTAAAAATGGGAGTTCATAATCTGCTTGAATCAAATGTATGTAATATGATATGTCAAGAGCTTTGTAATGTTTTGAACAACTAATAATAAAAAAATAAATAAAAAATAATGTAGCACTACAAGAATAGAATCCTAATTAGAACAAGTTATACTTCATGTATGTATAATATGACAAAATACATTCTATATCTAATAAAACAAATAAAAGGGAGGGGGGTAAAGGTAAACAGAGTGGCCACGTATTCACCAGCGACGTATGGGTAGTAAGTATTTGTCTTCTCAAGCACTGGGAGCCAGGGGCCCAGAGTTCTGAATGCACATGCTAGATTTCCTGAGATTTAAATGCTTTGTTTAGAGGTTGCAGTTCTAATGGTAAATACATCTTCTGTTAGTGACCCTGAGGATGGCGTGTCAATTGACGAAACCAGTAACAGTGTGCAGAATCTTTGGACACAAAAGATTAAATTTTGTAAATTCATACTTCACAACACTGTCATAAGTTTTCTCAAGTGTAGTATTTTGACTACAATACACAAATCACACTGATGTATTAATTTTTTTTCAGACCAGAAAAACATTCACTAACTGTCATGAAAAAGTCATGTGCATGAATATGGACTATTCAATTTTAATGAATATTCATGAGTGTTCTGTGCATCCTAATTTTGCACCAAAGACTATTTAGTAATAAATCAGTCTAAAGTAATATCAGCACATTTTTAAAAAATCACATAATAGTCACACCTCACATTTTTTGCCAAAAAAAAAAAATAGGTATAAAATCTGTGACAATCATGTGGTGAAATGGTAAACAACAGAAATGTCTTTCTCACAGTGCTATAAGCTGGAAAAGTCAAGGTCCTAGATGATTTGATTCCTGGTGAACTCTCTTTCTTGCTTGTAGGTGGCTGACTTCTCACTGTATCCTCACAGTTGTTTTTTTTTCAACTTATCATATACTTACATTAATTACTGCATAACAAATTATCTCAAAATCCAGCAGGTCAAAAGAACAAATACTCAGGCCAGGCTTGGTTGATCCTGTTTCAAAATAAAAAGTAAAAATGGCTGGAGATGTACCTCAGTGGTAGAGTGCTCTTGGGTTCAATCCTCAGTATTGTTTAAAAAAAAATAAAAGTTGGGGATTGGAGTGGTTCTGAGTGATGATGGCCCATGGTTTCTGTCACAAAGCTGTGGTCAAGATGTTGGCTCAGGCTCTGTCATCTGAACCCTTGGTGAGGCTGGAAGAGCTGCTTCTAAGGTGCAGTAGGCTGGAGACCTGGCGTCTTCTCCATGTGGGCCTCTTTTAGGCTGACTGAGTATCCTCCAGACATGGCTGTTGGCTTCCTCTAGAATGAGGGATTGAAGAGACAGCACAGCAAGGCCACAGGCTTTCATGTTCTAGCCTCAAAAGTGACGTGCTATCACTTCTGCCATATTTTGGTGGGCATACAGACCAGTCCTGATCCCAGGCAGGAAAGAGACTATACAAGTCTAAGAATATTAGAGGAGAGGAACATTGGGGCCATTCCATTCACGTAGCCAATACCCAAGGGAAAGTTTAGCACTCTAGAAAGTTCATTCATGCCCTTTCTCAATTAATATCATCACTAGCTTCTAACCCAGAAATAACTACTACTCTGACTTCTATCACTATAGATTGTTGTGTCCTGTTCTTGAACTTCGTGTAAATGGAATTATAGCCTTTTGTATCTGGCTGCTTTCACTCATTATGTCGGAAGCTCGTCCACATTGTTTGTGGCAGTAACTCATCCTTTTTTATTACTGAGTAGTATTCCAAGGTGTAAAATATTGGGTCATTTCTTGTTGTATGAGCTTTCTTGAACTTGTCTCATATTCAACATGTTGTCTTGAATCATTTGGGTTCTGCAATAAGAACTTTAAAGTTCCTTCTTTAAACAAGCTGCATTTTTACACTCATCTTCATGTAAAACAGCTTATGCCTACAACTCATGACCTTCGGGCCGAAGGTTATGACTAACTCAGAAATGAGGCATTGCTGATCAGACTTATGGTAAAAATATTATTCACCATAGTAAAGATGGTTGAGTCAGTGGTTGACCCAGTCATGGGATCCACTCAGGACGCCATCAGGGTGGGGAAAACTTGCAGTTTAGCAGTCAGGGTTTCAAATCAGCATTCCCTTCTCTAGAAGATTCTATCACACATTTTGTGGTTTTTTGGTCAGATCTTTTCTAAAACAGGGAATCTCACTCCTTTAAACTCAAAGCTTTCTTTTTAAGATGATTTTTAAAATTTTAACAGCAGCAAAATAGGAACAATAATAGTATCTCTCTGGTTAAATACTAGTGAGGGAGGGGAAAACTAGTCAGGGGAAGTCACTCTTTCTGTTGACAGAGATAAAGCTGACAGGAATTGAGAACTAATCTTTAAATAACTTCCTATAATTGTTAACGCATAACCTCACTCATTCATATTTTAAAATTGCCTTAAAGTACTGCTAAAAATAAGGGTAAAGGGACCAGGAAAAGATCATAAGACTTTCCAGACTCACTAATTACATACATTTTTAATGAAGGGCTGAGGATAGTCAGGGAGTCTGGAGAAGGTCTCTCTCTCTGTTATTGGTTTACCCCATGGTGTTCAGTAGGTTAAGCAGAGTCAAGAGGCAGGCTGGGGCCTGGGTGTGGAGTTAATTCCAGTGACTTGGGAGGTTGAGATAGGAGGATTGCAAGTTTGAGGCCGGCCTAGGCACCTTAGTGAGACCCTGTCTCAAAATGAAAAATAAAAGAAGTCTGGGGAGGTAGCTCAGTGGTAGAATGCCCCTACATTAATCCCCAATACAGGGGTAAAAAAAAAAAAAGAAAGAAAAGGAAAAGAAAAAATGGCAGAGGTAGGCCAGCTGGGCTGGAGAATGTAGAATTAATTTTTCTAATTTTGCCCATAGAACATATATCTTACTATGTTTTGTGTTCCTGTAACAGAATACATGAGACTGGGTGTTTTATAAAGAAAAGAGGCTTATTGCATTCCCAATTTTGGAGGCTGAAAGTCCTGGGTCAAGATGCCAAGAACAGAGAGTAGCATATGTGGATGAGGTCACATGGCAAAAGAGTCTTCTCATCTGAAGATGAGCCGGGCTCACTTTTTTTTTTTTTTTTAACAGTGCTAGGAGTCAAACTCAGGGTCAAAAACCTACTCATGCTTAATGCACTGGAGAGTCGCTCAAAATTTATTTTTAAATATTTTCCTTCATTTTGCCAAAACTTTCATATATATATATATATATCTCCCACACCAAGAACACAGCTTCAAAAATATACCTTTGAGTCATGTTTTAAGATCCAATACCTAATTCAAAAATTATTTTTTGTGTGGGTTTTTTTTTGTTGTTGCTGTTATTTTCCTTTTAGTGTCTATTTAATTTCATTAATGATTACTGGCAATGTCTTCACTAGAATTCTGAGCAATAGCCTTTGTGTTCTGTAAGAAAATGCTCCTGGATTTTCAGAGAGAGCAATGAATGGGTATAATTCAGGAAATACCATAATGGAATATGTGTTAAAATGTTAAGTTCAATGAAATTTCTGAATTCAGTTTCATTCAATTTCTGAAGTAATGTTTAGAATTTAGCTATTACTTTTAAACACTGGTAAAATATTTTTATGTTGGGATGGGGTTGTGGCTCAGCGGTACAGCACTCGCCTAGCATGTGTGAGGCCCTGGGTTTGACCCTCAACACCACATGAAAATAAATAAATAAAACAAAGGTGTTGTGTCCAACTACAATTAAAAAATAAATATTAAAAAAATATTTTCGTGTACCCTATGAAAATCAAATTGTTGCTTCAAGACTTGCTGAAAGCATATATGTAAAAATAAGTAAATACAAATAATGAGTATTTGTGCACTTAGGTAGAGAATCTGTTTAAAAATATAGTAATGGTGACACATATATTAAACATTTGATATGTAACAGGAAAAAAAATAACAAAATCATAGACCCATTAGTAGAATAAAGTTTGAAGTTCTATTCAGGATCCCCCAAATCAACACATTTACCAACAGAGTTGAATTGTTCACTCTAAAATCCCATGCTATTAAAAATCACAGAAATAACGTCTGACTGAAAACAAGCAAAAAAAATCAGCAAAGGCAAACTGGGTAGTATATTAACTTTATTTTGAATGACAATGTGGAATGTGTCATCAAACAAATACATGTAATGAAAATTTTCTGTAGTTTAAGTAAGCAGATGATTTGCACTAAGACTTGATAGTTTTAAGTCCTAGGATGCAGAGCTAATTGAATTGTGAATTAGGTAAATGTAAAATAAGAATCATTTACATGTGGTGCAAACTAAAATGTAATTTTTAAAAGAACAGACCTTCTGTTCGGTCTTTGGTAGGTGATTGATCATCATTGCCGCTGTAGATAATATAATAATTTCCTCTAGTTCAAATGTGTTCCTTCTAAGCTAGACACCTCCTACCTATAGTAAGAGGCCTTCATTAAATATTATTAAAGCTACTAGATTCATTTTTAAGGCCCTAATATTATTCAAGAACATTATCCACTTAACACATCTAAGGAATAGACCAATGACAACATACTTTAAAAATATTAAGTCTGTGATTTTGTCTTTGGAAAATTTGTCATTTACCCATTAAGCTGTTCTGTTTTGGATGAGGATGAGCAACTATTTTTGGTATAAGGGCTAACTAAAGGGAAAATTATAAAGCATTTAAGGCCACATTATTTTCTTCTTAAAAATGAATATAGCTTTTTGAAATTCCCACAGGGGAAAATGTGTGTTTGTATAACTTTGCTGAATAAAAGAATGTCAACAAGGAAATTGGCACTGCTTTGTAGCTACCAAAATGTTTATATTGAGTGTTTTGGCAACACAGAGCTTTCTAATCTTTCATCTTGGAATTAGGCTGAAGATTTCTGTATAGCTAGTCAGGTAATAGGTATCTCTGAAGGCTGTGGCTTTGCTTGTGACATTGATAAATATGCTTATTTTTATTGTATTAATCATAAGAATGTAAGAGAATATCTTGTACTTTCAAAAATTACATTATATCATTTACTGACTTAAAGATGATGCTTTTAGCACCACTGTAAATTGATTAAACAAAACTTATTCTGGGATTATAATATTTCTCTCCATATTAATGTGTCTTTACATAGAACATTGGCTAGAAACCAGAGCAAAACAGGAGCAAGAAAATTAACAATGTATTTAAATAACAGAAATACTATTAGAATTTATTATGGGAGATTATAGAAAGAAGGTTTAGTTTTGTGTGTGTGCAGTTAGGCACCGACAGAGGCAGTTAGACACCATTGATCATAAAGTGCATTCAATGTAAGTTTTAATTCCCCTTAAAAGAATAATTCAATAAAACTCAGAATTCCTTCTTGGAATCCGTCAACCCAAGACCATGCATAGATGAACACTTACCAAATACTAACAACCATCTTTTATAACTTATACTCCTGCAATAGTGATAGCATCGTGTACTTGCATATATCATATTTTATCTGAGGACCTCAGTCATTGTATCAAGCGGTGCAGTATTGGAAGCTCAAGATTCCACAGCATATTAGGTCTACTTATTTGTTGTATGGGAAATAGACTCCCAACAATAGAACCAAAATAAAATCTCAAAAGAGACAAGCCTACATTTCTTATAGTTTATAATTTTCTGGATTTTCAAATTTGCCACTTGTATCCTAACATACCTACCATGTTGACTAAGTGAAAAGGATTTTTACATGTCAGGAATAAGATTAGCATTAACCAACAAACATATGGGTTGCCCATTCTATAGTTCAACAGTCCCTCTTAAATAGCTCATGGTGGCTGTCAGAAGTGGCTTTCCCTAATGTATGCTTGCACGTCATTGATTCTCAATTATCATGGCTATGATCTTCGGTGGAAGAAAACATTTAACACTGAAATGACATACGTTTAGGTCCATATATGTAAAATAGGATGCATCTACGTATTTTAGCACACCTACATTTAACACAAAAGCAAAAGTGCATCAATTCATTGAAAGGTCAATCTTTCAGTTTTTAAAAGGAACAAAACTTTGTGTCTCTTTGCATACTATTGAAAACCCTGTCCAACTTTGAGTTTAACTCTGAGACACAAGTTAGCCTAGCAGCAAATGAATTTCTGTGGAATCCATGAATATGCTAGGTCCCCGGGAACTGAGTTTCAGGGCAGTGTAATAAACTCACTGTAAGTGAGGGGACAGAGACCTTGAGCTCTTCTGTTCTTGACTCAGCTCTTTGTTAGGGTCCCACAGGATGGGCATTCTAAGCATGTTCTTTTTAAAAAGCATTTTCAACATTGAAAAGTGTGTGTGTGGGTGTGTGTGCGTGGGTGTGTGTGTGTGTGTGTGTGAGAGAGAGAGAGAGAGAGAGAGAGAGAGATAGATACTGGGGATTTGACCCAGGGGAGCTCTACTTCTGAGCTACATCCCCAGCCCTGGTTTTTATTTTTATATTGAGACAGGATCTCACAAAGTTGCTGAAGCTGGCCTTGAACTTGCAATCCTCCTGCTTCAGCGTCCAGAGTAGCTGGGATTATAGGTATGTACCACCACACCTGGCAAAAAGCACTTTCTTTTTGGACAATGTGGTTTAGGTTTCTACCTTTCTGTCAAACATGAGACTAACTTAGCTTTTCCTGTGTCCTTCTTTACTTCGGAGGAGACGCAATATACGTTCATTATTGGTGAGTTCTGCCGGAAGTTCATTGGCCTGAAAACAAGATGAGATGGTCATTAGTGATTTCCCATAGCTGGTGTGATTTCAGGGACTCCAAAGAGGGCACCTGACCCACAACTTTCTCCTTCACTAATGAAAAATCCCCATTGGACACTCTTTTGTATTAAGGCAATAAAAATCTCCTTTAAGCATATAAATGTTACCTGTTACTTTCTGATCTCAGTGTTATTTTTCTTTCCATCCAGGGCCTTAAGAATCTCCTGGAGTTTTTTGGTAGGACCTACGTTGTAAAAATCATTATGTCCTCATTTCCAACACAACGTGTAGTGCATCTTATTTCTGCTCACAAACACTAGTCAAGTTAAAGTTGATACCTTATTCTTAATTATTTATTATGTGAGGTGGTCTGTCCAATAGGGACTTAGGACACAGGGCAAGTATCTTTTCTTTCTTCTGCATTCCAATTTATTTATTCATTTATTATTTTTAAAATTGTACACATTTATGAGCTACAATGTGATAATTTGAATGTACAAATAAAGGGTATTGATCAAATCAGGGTGATTAGCATTTCCCGCTCCTTAGACAGTTATCATTTCTTTGTGTTGGGAAGCTTCAAACACCTCTCTTCTGGTTCTCTAACAAACGTATAATAAATTGTTGTAAGCTATGCCATCCGGTGCTGTAGCACACTAGAATTTATTCTTAACCAACTGTATTTTGGCACCTGTTATCTGATTCCCTCTATTATCTCTTCCCCCCCCCCTTTCTAGTCTCTAGTGACCACTCTTCTACTTTTTGCTGCTATGAAATCAACTTTTCAGCTTGCACCTATAAGTGACAACTTGCAGTGTTAGGACACGTATCTGTGGATGAGAAGGCAGAGTTAGGAAACACACAGAGCAGAACAAAACCCAAGAAAGAAGAGCTTCGTGGCTACGACCTTCATCTGAACCAGTAACTCAACACAGGTATCCCCCATCACCTAAAGTCTTTTCTTTTCTCATTGCTATGGAGACAGTCTCCAAACACTCAGGAATCCAGTTCCTCCCACAGGTAATAGGTGTTATAGGACAATGGTTTTCAAGCTTTTGTAGTCTCAGGACCTTTGCCTATGCTTAAAAAATATTGAGCACTCTAACAAGATTTTGGTTTTGACTTATTAGAAATTAAAACAGAAAAAATTTTAAATATACTTCCTAATGTATTGAAAATAATAAAGCCATTACAGATTAGCATATATAACATTTATGGAGAAATAACTACATTTTCAAAACAGAAAAAAATGAGTGAGAAGAGTAGCATTGTTTAATAGTTTTGCGTAGGTCTTTAATGTGTAGCTTAATAAAAGACAGTTGGAGTCTCATATTTTCTTCTGCATCAGTGTTTGGTGATATGTTGTTTTCATTGAAGCACAGGAAGAAAATTCAGCTTCATACAGATACAGAATTGGAAAAGGGAGGAGATTTTAACAGGTTGGTGGATCTCTGAACTATTCTTCTTGGATGCTACACCAAACTTCAACAAGAGGTAGTTTCTTAAAGTTTAACTGCAATGTGAGACCTGACACCACATCAATGAACTTTTAATTCTCTGCTACATTAAAATCCACAAACCTGGTAGTGTACACCTGTATCCCAGTGGCTTGGGAGGCTGAGGCAGGAGGATCACAAGTCCAAAGCCAGCCTCAGCGACTTAGCGAGGCCCTAAGCAACTCAGCAAAATTCTGTTTTTTTTTTTAATATTTATTTTTTAATTGTAGCTGGACACAATACATTTATTTTATTTATTTATTTTTATGTGGTGCTGAGGATCAAACCTAGGGCTACTCTAGAGCACTCTACCACTGAGCCACAACCCCAGCCCAAGATTCTGTTTTAAAATAAAATATAAAAAGGGTTGGGGATGTGGCTCAGTAGTTGAGTGCCCCAGGTTCAATCCCTGGTATAAAAAAAAAAAATCCACAGGTCCATTTATTGATAGGTGATTCTTTTACCCATGCATTATTTGTGACATCATGCAATGCTCATTTGGAAAACAGTTTACAGAGTTACGTAGATCTTCCGAATCTTGACACATTTTGTTGTGCAATAGCAACATACATTAATATTACGACTGATTTTTCAGAAAAGCCTTTTTGGACTGTCAGCCTTGAACTTGTGGTGGTGCATAGAAGTTGTTCTTTCAGGTATAAATGGCGTTCTATGAAAAAAAGTGGCTGGTTCACTCTGCAATACAAACAACTTCAGAGGGACTTTCTTTCAAAACAATCATTGTACTCCAGTGGGCCGCAAAAATGCATTATCCATTTTATCACACAGAATATTAAAAGATGTTCAGCAAAAGTTAAAGTTTAATACAATTAACATTTTTTTCACTGCTTCATCAAAGACATTTTAAAGATTAATATTTTTGAAAAGTAATTGACAAAATTTGTAAAATAACTTACAAAGGATTGCAAACTGTTTTGCCAGTATCATTTAGTGCTCCTGCTTTGAAGTGTACCACGTCGCCAATGTGCTTGCCCCCTCTTGCTTTTGCACCATTGGAACAGTTCATCTTTGTATTATCAAGAATACTGTGCTGACTTTTTAGATCCCCTGAAAAGGTTTTGAAGACCTTCCTGTGTCCACAGACCACATTTTGAAAACAGTTGTTATAAAGGAATCAAAAAACAGTTGTTATAAAGGAATCAAAAACATGTTTTGGGGCCAGATCATAAATGAGTAAAAAGGTACACAGAATGGTGGGAGGGAGGGCTTGCATATAGATGTTACCTGCTTCATGTATTTTTTCTCATGGACCATCTACTGCTTTTTGGAACTTGATCCTAGGTGAAGCGCCTGCTGTCCTCGTCATCTAGGCTGGATCTTGTTCCCTGACCCCTGCTTCCCTACCTGCTGGCTGGGACCTCACTTGTGGGGAAGTATGACTTTGCCACAGCGGTCTGCTGTGTGGCATGTTCTATAGCTGCGCTCATGCCCACCACATGGGACCTTTGATGTTGCCCCTGGACTGAATCAGAAAGGAAACTGCTATGCTATGCCAGAGGCCCTTTCATGAGGTCAAAGTCTACTATGTGCTTAGTTCCTGCAAGAGCAGACATTGCACAAGCTTAACACCTGGGCCTGCAGGGAAATGCTCCTGGTAAACAGACCTAAGCTTCACTCAGTCTCCAGAGTAAACACTCAGGAATAACTGAACTGATTATATCAGTTATTGATGAGCGGTGAGCACGCCAGAGGTGGCCAGATGAGCCACTACAATCAGGAGGAAGAAGGAGCTATGGAGCTGTATGTCTATAAGTTTGCTCACTTTTCAGTGCCTTGTGTGATCATCTGCCTGCATGTTCATATCCTTTTCCATGAAAAATGAGCTTTATTATTAAATTCTGCTTGAAGAATGTGTCTCAGCAGCAATATGAAAATAAAGGACTTAGGGTGATATGGTTTTATGTGTCATTTAGGTAGTTCTAAAAACCTGGTTGTCCATCCTCCTCTCCACTTAATTCCCAGGTTGCCAAGGTTGTATGGATTTTCATGATGGCTGGTACCCAGGTTAGCCCTTCATGCCCATCTTATTCATTATGGAGCAGGAATCTGAGGCCCATATTCATATTCGATACTATCGCATCAAACTGCTCTACTTTCCCATTGTTTCTGGAAGAAAATGTGTTCTCAGTGCTCATTTAGGGATATTGGAAACATAAGACCCCTGTACCTAGGGCGGGCGTGGCTATAGTGCAAGGAGTGGCTATTAGGGCCACTGGTTAGTCCTCTCTCTGGGCATCTGGGCCTTGAAGCCCCAGAACAGAAGTCGTAGGACCCCTGGAACAAAAGAGTGCTTCCATACAGTTCAGAAGTTACTTCAACTTGGAAGACTTTGATAGCATTCTCTACTTCCCTGCTTATAGCTCGTATCATTTATATTGCAATTGCTTGTTTAGTTGTTTTAATTCTCCACTAAACTCTGCGCTCCATGAAAGCAGAGATGATGTGAATCTTATTCATCACTGTATCCTCAGCACAAGCACTAACAGTGCATGATATCTACTAGGTGTTCTATAAGTATTTGTTGAATGAATGAATGAAAGCCAAGAATACTATCTCAAGAGTCCTAAGAGGCTCACCCTTGCTTCTGGAGCTGCCATTAAAGATGATGGCTTCTCTAGGGTAGTTGGTAGACAGGTGAGGGCTTCCCAGAACTCTAAAGGCTTCAGTAGTATGAGGCTCCAACATGAGCACTAATATATACACTGAAGCAGTTTTAGGATAGGTCAAAGTTCAGCACTTTTCCCACTGGACATTACCCCAAACCACTATGATTGAAGATTATTGCATTATGCTGGGAGGAATTGCATGTTTCAAGTCCTATATTAAGGGCTAGGGATTGAATATGTCCCCCTTGCTTAATTCAGTCCTGGATAGTTCACCAACAAAGACTGACCTCTTCTGAAAGTCCATGCATAAGATCTAAAGGTAAGATCTAAAAGAAAGGTAACTGTGATCTCAACTGGCCACCAGGCCGGCTGGAGAACAGACCTGAGTATCCCAGGAAGAAATGCTATCATCAAGCAATTCAAGGTTGAGAATAGGAAAAGAAAAATACTTCTATAATCTAAGTAAAACAAAAAAAAAATGACCCTTGACTTTGGCATGTTTTTTTTTTCTTTTAAAGAGAGAGAGAGAGAGAGAGAGAGAGAGAGAGAGAGAGAGAGAGAGAGAGAATTTTTAATATTTATTTTTTAGTTATCAGTGGACACAACATCTTTATTTATTTTTTATTTTTTTATGTGGTGCTGAGGATCGAACCCAGAGCCCCGCGCATGCCAGGCGAGCGTACTACCGCTTGAGCCACATCCCTAGCCCCTGGCATATTGTTTAATAGGCACTTCTTAATGGCTTCTTTTCAAAATGTCATGATATTATACACACACACACACACACATACACACACACACACACTTTTTTGCAATCCTGAAGATCAAACCCCAGGGTTTCATACATGCCAGGCAAGTGCTCTACCATTGAACTACACCCCAACCCCATGTTTTGTTTTTATTATTAAAATAATTTTAAACAGTAATAGATATTTATAAAATTCAAAGAGTGTGTAAGTATGGAGTAAAGTAAAAGTTTCTTTTCATACCTTTCCTTATTGATTAGTGCATCCTCTTTCAAAAATAGTAGAATGAAACAGACATTATTATTACTGTGTGTATATACGTGACTGCATGATCAGTGTGATTCTGCAACCTGTATACTCAGAGAAATTATATCTCATCTGATTCAAATGTATGATATGTCGAGATCACTGTACTGTCATGTGAAACTAAGTAAAACAAATAAAAAAAAAGATCTTTAAAAAAAATGGGTAGTTTAGATCTTTGCTAGGTTAGTCTCCTCACCCTGAATCTGTGCATGTGACAGCTGAGGCAGATGCTGAATAGGAGGAAGTACAATGACATTCCTGCCGTTGTTATTGTATACTCTCCAACTTCCAACTTTGACCTAATGGTAACTATTTTTGTTGTTGTTGTTTGTTTTCATTTGTAGTGCTAGGGATTGAATTTAGGGCCTTGTGCATATTAGGTAAGTGCTCTACCACTGAACTACATCTCTGGCCCTGGCCTAACTGTAAAAAGTATTTAGGACTATAAAAAATATGAGTTTTGTAACAGTGACATGGGCTGCCTTTAACAATATAAAGGCAACATTTCCCCCACATAGTCACCGAACAGTGCAAACAATTCTTAAGACATGGACATCCAACTTATGGGAATGGTGGTTAGCTACCAGAACTCTGGCATTTTTAGGGCACATCTCTGATGACAGAACAATAATACTTTCTGTGTGTAATGGTGCACATCTGTAATCCCAGCTGCTCAAGAGGCTGAGGCAGGAGGATCGTGAGTTCAAAGCCAGCCTCAGTAACTTAGAGAGGAACTAAGTAACACAGTGAGATCCTGTCTCTAAATAAAATACAAAAAAGGGCTGGGGATGTGGCTCAGTGGTTAAGTGCCCCTGAGTTCAATCCCCAGTACCAACAAAACAAAACAAAACACTCAAAACAACAACAACAACAAAAACCCAATAATACTTCCTCGCCATAATAACTGCTTGGCCTGCCTTTCTCATCCCTGCTGGAAGCCTGCACCACTGTTAACAGAAAAACCATTGATGACACAGGATTTTTAGTACAATTCCTTGGGTCCAAATTACTGTTCAGGAATAAACTATTTATAGCAACCTTGCATACACTACCCGTGCATAACAATGAAAATAGGACTGAAGCCAGAAAAATGCTTATTCTGGCTTGGGAGGATGTAGTCTTATCTCTTTGCACAAGGACCAAATGGGGTTAAAAGAAATAGGTACCTTGTTTCTCAGGGCTGGGTCGGCCCCTGCTTCCAGGAGGAGGGCAACTGTTTTAATGTTCCCGCTGAGCACGGCTGCATGGAGTGCTGACGTCCCATTCTAGAAGAAAAAGACAGTGTGTGTCAGGAAGGAGCTCATATCAGCGCTTAGCTTGGCTTTCATCCTAAATTACCTCAGTGATGAGACTGTAATGTCAGAACCTTACTTGTCCTTACCTTCCCCTTGTACTTTTCAAAGTCATATCAGAACCTGCTATAGTGTTCTCGGATACACAGCTTATGATAAGTATAAATATTGCCAATGTTTTTTTTGCAAATGAAACAAGGAATCTGACCCACGGTACAGATAACTTCAGGCAGTTTTATATACTTTAGGAATTGCTGCAAAAATACCCAGCAATGCTGTGCCAAACTTTTTTTTTTTTGAATAACACAGATAGTCTTTGTACATTTGGTGAGCCACTTCCAGCAGGGCCGGAGGAACAGCTGGCTGGCCAGTGGGACCACCTGTCAGCCTAGCTAGTCACTATGTCTGCCCACTCTGGTGGGCAGGGGTGGGCGTGCAGTCACTGCATTTAGCAAGAAGAATATGTGGGCTGAGGCATCCTCCCCCACGACTCTGGAGCTAGAATATTTATTTCTAAGCACAGAATGGCCCTACTGGATGAGTTACTAACATTATATGAAATTTGGTGAAAATGTTCATTGAAATAAGGAAGCAGCTAAATGTAGCATGTAGCTGGACGTGGGAGGGGAGGGGAAGAGAATATAACCACTTACATAAGAATCATGGGCAACCACAGGACATTGGTTCCAGAGGGTACAGATGTATATAAACAGTACCCAAGTTCAAACTTAGTTTTGTAATTAATGACTAATAAAAATTATGCTGAGCTTGGCATGGTGGTGCATGCCTATAATCCCCAGCGGCTCAGGAGGCTGAGGCAGGAGGATCACGAATTCAAAGCCAGCCTCAGTAACTTAGCAAGACCCTAAGCAACTTAGTGAGACCCTATAAAAAGGAGCTAAGGATGTGGATCAGTAGTTTAGCGCCTCTGGGTTCAATCCCTGGTACCAAAATAAATAAATTTTTAAAAATTATGCTGGTTTTGTGGAAGAGGGGGAAAAATCTAGCAAAAATAGCATTTTTCTATGGTTGCTTTCAAAAGTGTTATAATTTACTAATTTAGTAATATTTCTCAAATCTATATCTTAACCAGCCTATCAATGTTACCTATGAGCAATAGCTATGAATTTAAAAAAATTTTTTTAAAAGAGCTGTTTGAAAAAGACTGGATAATGTTTCTAAAGCTCCATCCCTTTTCTTCATAAAGTTCACTTTCAAAGATGATTTATTCCTACATTACAAATGATTTTAACAAGTGCAGTTTTCTGTCTTCCAAGTTCATGTAAGATCAGAAGTGGCTCAGTGTTGGAAGGACCCATACACTGACAGCAGCAGTTCTGTGTTAGCTGACGGCAAGAATGGAGTCGAAAACTCTAAAGGACAGACAGGAAGTGTCCCAAAAGCCTTCAAGGGCAAGTAGACTTTATGCACATTGACAGACTCTGAGGGCACAGTTCCCAAACTGCTAAGCCACTGTGCCAAGATGTGGCATCCTCTATTTGAGAAGACAGGAGAGGCATACATGTGGCCTTCTGTCTGCCAGTCAAGTCTATCCCACTGCCTGTTTTTGTATCCCTGCAAGCCAAGAACTGGTTTTGCACTTTTAAATGATTAAATAAAGATTAAAAGAAGAATATCTTGTAATGTGAAAATACAAAATTCCATAAATATGGTGTCCATAAGTACATGAAGTTTTATGGGAAGTCAGCCCCATTTGTTGTTATTGTTCCTGGATGAGTTCTCACCACCACAACAGTGTAGAGCAGTTATGACAGAAAACCTAAAATATTTACTATCTGGTGCCTTACAGAAAAAAGTTTGTTGACCCTCAGCATTCACTATAGTTTATAAATATTTTAATCTGAAAGTATTAAAACTTACCGAAGAGGATTGGGCCCTGTTTTGTGGAAGACCCAGAAAGACATTTTTCTGAGGCTTTCAGATCTTTGAAGCAAATTTTATTTCGTTTAAGGTAACCAAGCCCAGGGATTCTTTGCTTAGGATAATGAAGAGAAGAGCATTCTTCCTTGATTTCACAAATCTTCCAAATGATATCAATATGGTTTACTTTTCCATTTAGCAATTTCATTACAATTATCTTTTTTTCCTAGAATACTACAGACTCAGTTTATTCCTCTTACCACCTTCTCATTTTTACTAGTACCCTTGGAACTCCAGCACCATGAAGTTGGAGGTGTGTCTTCTTAAGAATGCCCTCCCCAGGCTGATTATACCCAAATTCTACTGCAGTCCCCAATAAGAACTTATTTTCTAACCTGTTACCTTTCTAGATTGTATCATTTCTCTTAGGTCTTACCTTCAAAATACCAAGAGTGGGAGAGAATTTAAGCAACTCCTCGATTACGTCATTATACCCTTTGTTGGCTGCTTTCAACAATGCTGTGGTACCGTCCTGAATAGAAACAGGAAAATAAAAGTTGATTATTAACATATGTCTGGGTTGGCTGAGAACTAAATGTCAGTTGAGAACTGCGAGTATAAGTGTGTTTGCCAGAAATAGGCAAAGTGTGTAAATGAAGCACAGGATCAGCAATGTCTCAATCTCGGAGCAGTCTGGGGCATATTAAGCAGTTAATTCTGCGTGAAGAATATTAGACACAATATGTGATAGTTATATTAACTTAGAAGTCTGCATTTGGGAATTCATAATTCCCCAGTCCCTTAGAACATGGAGTCAGAGACAGGGGGGAATTTCAAGAGCATATTTTTAGGATATTAATGGATTCAATACTGCTGCTGGTGACTTAGCAGAAATCATCTAACTGTTTTTAACCATTTAGATTATTGTTGTACTGTATGTATTGTTTTAAAAATTTATACAACTTTGCCCTAGTCTCCTCTGTGTACCCATTTGCCTGTGTTTGATGGCAGGGGGCCAGGTGGGTAGGTTGAAATCTGCTTAAAAAAAAAAGAATTTAAGGACAAAGTCAAGAATTAATATTCAGCTTCTGTCATCGCTTTTGGTACAAGAAGAGGTTTTTTTTTTTTTTTTTTTCAAAGCTTCCTGCTTTGATTTATCACTTGCTGTCATTTGTAGGATTAGCTCTGGAACTTTCCACTAGTCACCATTAGGGTTTATCTGGCATCAGGAAGAAGGAAGGTGGGCTTAACAGATTTTTGTTTTCTGGCTTCAGTGATGGTGGGAAGAAGAGAGAGTGGGAGAAAGGACATGTGAGCAGTCGGAAATGTATCTTAGGATTTTCCTTTTCTGGGCTTAGACTTGGAGAGGGGAAGGTGGGTCAGTCACATAGGCAAAGGTGATAGAAAGGTAAAGAGGTCAGGCACAGTGAGACAAAAAGCAAACAGCCTGGTGTGGGTAGAATCTCCCCAAGCTGCCTTTTAGTTCCCCTGGGGCAAAGGGCTTGTTCCAGGCACACCCAAGTGGATTAGGTGACACCTTGGGAAGCTAATGTGGACAGCAGGAGCATGGGAATGTGGTGTAGCAGTCTGCAGCTGCGGAGACCAGGGGTGAGATGCAGCCAGCCAGGGGTATCGCTTGCTTGCACACTATGCATGACCTTGCACACCATGCATGACCTTCCATGACCCACAGACCGGAGGCCCAGCAAGATTCCGTGGCTCCCCACTCCGCCCAGAATTCATGGCACCATCGAAGTTTCCACCGACTTGGACTTTCACTTTGACTTTGTTTTCTTGCTAAAGAGCAGGTGGAGATGGGGAGGAAGCCCAGGTGAGTTGCAGACAAAGAAACACCCGACTTTCTGTGTACATCCAAGCCTGGTTGTGTGGAGTCTGTCGGGTGGCTCCGATTGGTGGCTGCAGGGATCCCTCGGATACTCACATTGCGCGTGGCATCGCGGTCTGCACCCCGCAGCAGCATCACCCGCACCACCTCGCTGTGGCCCATCTGGGACGCGATCCACAGGGGCGCTGTCCCATCCTGCGGGAAGAGGAGGCCGCCAGTGTGACTTCGGTGCTTGATCCCAAGTTTCCGAAACCAAAAACCCTGGGAAAGAACTTGATAAAGGCAGATTGACCCTCCGACTGATTGATATGCTCCCAAGAAGTCTCCAGTGAAGAAGAGAGTGTTCTTAACCCATTGACATACACTGGCGTTTGGCAGTGCCTGGACTGCTTACCTGACTGCCAACATCCAATTTTGGGCTTATAAAAACTGTCATTTAGGGTTAGACATTTAACCCCAGAGTGTGGTACAGATTTTGAGGAAGGCCGTGTGGGAACTTTGCTGGGATCTTACTGGGAATGTGCAGGGGACAGCAGAGCGCACCAGGCAGAACAAGATTGCATACATCCAGAAAGAAGCCAGGCTGTCTTTCCCTTCCTCGGCCTCCAGACCACTAATTTCTTTTCTGGTGCTCAGTCATGTGCACACAATGCATCCTGCCTAGTGAAAGTCCTTTGTAACCACAGGAAACTGAGAATTGTCCTTTAAGGTAGAGTCAGAGAACTCAAGATATTTCTTTTTTATTTTCTATACTCATGTCCCCCACAGCCACATCATGTTTTAAGGGAGCTTATGTTCATTTTATGTGAAGGTAATGTTGTGTTTTCTAGCAGGTGACATACCCTGGCGAGTTAAGCAGGGCAATATTTTTGGTAATATTTCTTTTTATTACTCCCCAACTTCTTTGGGAACAAGAAGCCCTGAGGCTGAAATAATGACCCTAGAGAGGACAAGGTGAAATACCCAAAGGATGGAGGATTTGACAGTAGGGTGGGTCCTGCCAGGGATACAGAAAATGGAAAAACCCACTCGTGTAGGAAGGAGAAGCAAGAGAGGTGGAGTGTCCACACTTTCCTCCCCTTCTGGGTTGAGTCTGGTTGTGTGGAGACAGGAAGGTAAGTAATTTAAGGGTAGAAACACCCAGATAAATTATGGGGAATTCCAGATGGGGAAGGATTGTCTCCTTTTCTTGGGATGGAGCCCAAGAAAATCATAAGTGATTTACAGAAGCTCTGTTCTTGGCTAGTGCCTGAGAGATAGAAAAGAAATGGTGATGAGACTTGTCACCATTGACCGTGGACCTGAAACATCCCACAACCCCTATGACCCGCATCTACCAGGCCTCCGGGTACCCAGGACTTCCTGTCTGCCTGTGGACTAGAAGTGCTCAGGCAACAGTGGCCTGGAATAAGCCTGGGTTTGGGAAGACAAGGCCACAGAGAGGCACAAATTCATGAGCAGAGACCATGGCAGGGTCAACATTATGTGAAACCAGCTGCTTTTGGGGGGGGCACCAGTTCAGGATGTATGGAGACAAGAGAGGCCAGCACAAAGTTCAGGCATGAGTCTCTCCTGATGCCAGGGTAGAAGCATGGCCTTTGAGATCTTAGGTCACTTTGGAGAGAAGGACAGGAGGAGGGAGCAGGATCCAGAATTGGCTAAATTTAACCTCAGAGGTCTTTACAGTAATAGAGCACCAAGAGTCTGCTTCAGCCAGAGAACACTGGCTTACCCATCAGTGGGAATGGGAACTGAAAGGACAACCTGATGCTGTTACAGAATCTAAAGTTACATTTTCTGCTGTAGAGTGCAATTTCAGTCCAAGCCTATTAGCGAAAGGAGGCACAGGATGACTGTCCATTGCTGTCCTGGCAAAAAGACAGAAGGCCAAGACAATTGAGTGGGTGGTGCAAAATGTCAAACTGAAAACCCAGGAGAAACTGGGGTTGCCGAGAGGAGGTCAGAGGATGTGGGCGCTGCTGTCCTGGGAGAGGTGGGGAAAGAGGTCCTGAAACTAAGGCTGCAGGAAGGCTGAAGACATTTTCGCCTGCTTCACACTCCTTCATACTTTCCCTGGGGTCTCTTAGAAATATTCTTGGATCTGAGTATTGTTTTTCATTAGCAAATTATCACTTTTATTGAAAGTACAGATTTTAAGTACAAATTAAGGTATGATTTATTGTTTCCAAAGCTAAAACATTTCTACATTCTTTAGTTCGATTCTCCTAGATTCCGGATTTAATCAATTACTCATTTATCCAACCAACTGACAATTGTTAAACATCTCCTCTGGGTTCCAGAGACCTAGAATGTTTTTAAAGGAACCTAGTCTAGAGGAGAAGAAACCTGGAAATTTCTGTATGACTGCAGTGTTGCATTAAAGTATGGATAAAAAGGCACATGATGACCCAGGAGAGGGTCTTTTTTACTGAAGAAAGTTCATTCCAGAGAGAAGGAGGATCACATACCGTCACAGGGTCTTGGACAGACATGGGTTGGCAGGCAGGTGGGCAATCTAGAGGCTGTGGCACAGGGGTATAGGTGGGGTCCTGGGAGGCAGGACAGGGCATCTGGGTTCCAGAGACCTAAAATGTGGGTTTTCTGGTACTCAGCAACTAATGAGTTGTTTGTCTGCTCTGGGTCCATTCTGTTCTCTCCACCAGAGGGCAGACAGGGACATGAGCTGGGCTGCCAGATGGGTATGCTTCCCAAGGGGTTGTTTGTTCTAGTAAAACTGAATTTGGAAGAGTGCTGAGAGGTACTGTCTGGGATCAGCTTTTACTATTATCAGTTTATCACAGTCATACTCAGATCTATTCCTTTTTTTTTTTTTTTTGGTGCCGGGGATTGAACTCAGGGACACTTGATTACTGAGCCACATCCCCAGCCCTATTTTGTATTTTATTTAGAGACAGGGTTTCACTGAGTTGCTTAGCTCCTCGCTTTTGCTGAGGCCGGCTTTGAACTCTCAATCCTCCTGTCTCAGCTTCCTAAGCTGCTGGGATGACAGGTGTGTGCCACTGAGCCTGGCTTCAGATCTATTCTTAATCGGTATAGTCATATTGGGGAAAGCAGTCACCACTTTCTGCCTGTAAGATCTTAGGCAAATCCCTCTCAGTCTTCATGTCCTCATCTGTAAGAATATTAGCCCCACAGCAATACTGCCGAAGGAGGAAATCTATATAAAAGTGGTGGGCACGAGAACAGGCTGAAAGATGCTTAGGAAAGTTAACTGAATCTGAGTATTATTCATCATAAGCAACTTAATTTCTATTTTTGTTCACCCAAGTACTTCCACCTGCTTTATTTAATTGATTCTCCCCAGTGTCTGTGAGTAAATTGTGAGCAGGAAGGAATAACTGGTAAAAGCAGATGTGGGGGTCACCTATATATTTCATGATGGGTAATTGCTTCTCCTAATTTGTTTTTTGAACCCAGAGGGTTGTGCGCAAGTTAGAACATTACAGTCAAATCTAATTATCAGGTGATTATCTAGCTGTGAATGGGAGAGGTTTTCCTCTCTGTTCAGCTCCATTTCTTTTTTCTTATTCTTCCTTCTTTACAATGCTCTTAGCTTCCATTTTAATAATGAAAATGATGGAAAACAAATCAATTTAGCTTTTTTTGTAGGGTTTTGGAAAGAATCAGAATGGGAAAAACATTTTAAACTATTTAAATCAGTTTTTGAATTTTTCTGGACAACACAGTTTCAGAATATATGAAATTGAATAAATCACTGTGAAGTGGAAGTTATATTCTCTATTGCACTTAAAAAAGAAAATAGAGTATTTAGATTTGTTTATTGATTTATATGGAGACTCCTTAGAAAACTTGGAATGTAACTACCACTTGACCCAGCTATCCCAGTCCTTAGTCAATACCCAAGGACTTAAAATCAGCATACCATAGTAATGAAACCACATCAATGTTTATAGCAGCTCAATTCACAATAGCTAAACTGTAGAAGCAACCTAGATGCCCTTCATTAGAAAAATTGATAAAGAAACTGTGGCATACATACACAATGGAATATTACTCAACAGTAAAAGAGAATAAGATTATGGCATTTGTAGGTAAATGGATGAGGTTGGAGAATATTATGCTAAGTGAAGTTAGCCAATCCCCAAAAGACAAAGTCCAAACTTTCTCTCTGATAAGTGGATGCTGATCCATAATAGGAGGGCATGGAAATAATGGAGGAATTTTGATGGGGCAAAGGGGAGGGAGGGTTGGGGAGGGGGCATGGGGGCAGGAATGATGGTGGAATGAGATGGACATCATTATCCTAGGTACATGTATGACTGCACAATGTGCAACGCTACATTGTGTACAACCAGAGAAATGAAAAGTTCTGCTATAATTGTGTACCATGAATCAAAATGCATTCTGCTGTCATATATACCCAATTAAGATAAATAAATTATTTAAAAAAGAAAAGAAAAAAGAGCATTTAGATTTATTTATTTGGTACTGGGGATTGAACCCAGAGGTGCTTAATCACTGAGCCACATCACCAGTCTTTTTTATGCTTTATGTTGGGACAGGGTTTCACTAGGTTGCTTAGGGCCTTGCTAAGTTGCAGAGGCTGGCCTTGAACTTGTGATCCTCCTGCCTTTGCCTCCTGAGTCCCTGAGATTACAGATGTGTGCCATTTATTTTTAGAAAGGTAAAGCTATGATAGCTATTATTTACTATCTGTGTGCATACCAAGTGGAAAAGGATTTAGACTGACTTTGTAGACCAAGTAATAAAAAGAAGACTAATGGATAAAAGCCACATGGAAACTTGGGATCACTGTAAAAAAGAAAGTATAATGAGGGCTGGCTAAAGACTAACTAAGCTGATGAGTTCCCCAGGCCTGCAGGTGTTCAACAGCAGCTTACTAGTGTGGGAAGGACTCAGGCACTAGATGGACAATTCAATAGGGTGACTTTTGCAGTTTCTTCCAACAGTGTTGTTCTAGTCATGTATCCTCTAAGATATTTTATAGATAGATCACAGCACGAGATGGAACCTAGCCCCATCAAAGTTCCTCCATTGTTTCCATGCCTTCCCATTACGGATCAGCATCCACTTATCAGAGGGAACATTCAGCCTTTGGTTTGTGGGGATAGATCACAGCATGAGATGGAGCATATGACTTGACCTGGATTAGAAACTAATCTTATATGATCTTATTTAGGCTTTCGAAGATT